TTTTTTTTTTTTTTTTTTTTTAATATTACAACAATAACGACCCCTAAAATAATTTTCTCCTAAATACAAGAACTGATTGGGTTTGGGATATTTTTTCATGATTTTTGTTAACTTTATTGTTTGAAAAGAAATAATTATTGTTTATGTTAATTGTGGTTTGGATAACCAAGTGAATAAATTTCTGCCCTGTTGACGTTTGTATTTGTTGATGTTTTCCACAAACTTTAGCTAGTGGAGGTTGAACCAAAATTCTATTTCTGTTTCGCGCGAAAACGGAAATCTCACTTGCTTTACAAGAATGTACAATATAACTTTTATTATTCCCAAAACATATACATATAATGTAACTACTGAAACTAGAAGGCTATTATTTATTTATTCAAACAATATCATACACTTTAAATACCAATAATTAATCAAATTGACTTAAATATCGAAGCGACAGGGATTTCCCGTTTTCTGGTGCGCACACTTCCGGTAGATTGTTTACATTCGCTACGGAAGATGATAGACACGGTGGCTGCGTTTAAACTTGTGACATGTAGCAGCCTATCGTCCACCCAATTTAAAGTATATGAATTGATGTGATAATGTGATAGCTGCAGAGCTAGACGATCAATTCAGTCACTTCTTTCCCGTTTCTTCGGCTAGTAATCGTGCTAAATGTTGGCCAGGTGCAGGCGTGTGGGACAAGGGGGTGCAGGCTAGCTTGCACGTCTACATTTATACAATGTGACTTGCAGTTTCAAAACACAAATAAGTCAATCGCTAGTCATGTTTTCTGTACTTTAATAATATCAACGTGCATTATCTCGAGAATGTAAGGACGCTCTTTTGATGCAGTTCTTCGGATGCATGGGAACACTTAGTAAGTTACTATACTAATACATAAAGGCACTTGACGCTTTGTTATGTCAGATTTTTTTATTTTTTTTATATAAGTATACATTTTTTTTTTCAAAATTATTATCTGAGAATTATCTGAATAAAAAAAAGAAATGACGCATTCGAATAATTTTGAAAAAAAAATGTATACTTATATAAAAAAAAATTAAAAAAAAATGACATAACAAAGCGTCAAGTGCCTATGACTAATATTAATACCCGGCCTCCTCTGCCCCGATTTAAAAAATATCGTCGTCAGAAAGCTACGTTATCGCAGCTAGGGAACACTCAGAAGAAAGAAAAACATGCTGTCAAATATGAGCATGAACAGCAAAGATTTCAAAGTATGTAAACATTAAGAAAAATATTTGTATTTTTTATTGTATAATGAGATAAATGACTAAATGCTTTAAATGAATAGAAAGCGTCTTTAAGTGACAACAAGTGTCGCCAGACAAAATCTATAAAAATACCGAATTAAATAAGCGACATCAGAAGATTTGTTGTCAATATGACTATAATACACCTTGATATCAAATTGCAATTTGATATTTGAAAAATTGACCGAGTTATGATGAATTGAATTTTACGATCTGCGGCGTTGCACGTGTGTGTAATAACCTGTACAGTTAAGAAAGCGTCACTAGACAATATCTTTAAAAACTCTTACTAAAGTAAGCGACACCAGAGGATATGTTATGAAGAAGGCTTTTATTGATATATACTCCAAATTTTAGCTAGATATATGAAAAAACGACCGAGTTATGATGAATTTATTTTTTACGATTGGCGGCGTGGCACACGCGTGTGAATTGAACTCCGCAGATCGTGAAGCGTCTTCAGACTTTACCTCTAAGATTAACCTATAAAGTAAGCAACATCAGAAAATATGTTTTTCATATGACTATTAACACCTATGCGCCAAACTTCAGGTCGATATTTGAAAAAACGACATAGAAATGACGAATTGAATTTTTACGATTGGCGCCGTTGCACACATGCATAAAGAAATCTATTTACAGCGTATCACATATGTGTGCACACATATATAAGGACTTCGCATTTCTCAACACGGCCTCCCCGGATTACATT